GTTTCAAATTGGTTCGTGTCACAATCTCTTGTGTGGGGGCCAAGGATTGTTGAAATAATATTGTTTTGTAATTAATTGACGTTGTTTGGTTATACCATGTTTATTGTATAATATATTTTCTTGACCAATTAAACTTTTTACGCACGTTCTGACAATGGGCAAGCAGGACGAGTCCAATATTATTTATTTATGAATGTTTCAAATTGGTTCGTGTCACAATCTCTTGTGTGGGGGCCAAGGATTGTTGAAATAATATTGTTTTGTAATTAATTGACGTTGATTGGTTATACCATGTTTATTGTATAATATATTTTCCTGACCAAATAAACTTTTTTACGCATGTTTTGACAATGGACAAGCAAGACGAGTCCAATATTATTTATTTATGAATGTTTCAAATTGGTTCGTGTCACAATCTCTTGTGTGAGGGCCAAGGATTGTGGAAATAATATTGTTTTGTAATTAATTGACGTTGATTGGTTATACCATGTTTATTGTATAATATATTTTCCTGACCAAATAAACTTTTTTACGCACGTTTTGACAATGGACAAGCAAGACGAGTCCAATATTATTTATTTATGAATGTTTCAAATTGGTTCGTGTCACAATCTCTTGTGTGGGGGCCAAGGATTGTGGAAATAATATTGTTTTGTAATTAATTGACGTTGATTGGTTATACCATGTTTATTGTATAATATATTTTCCTGACCAAATAAACTTTTTTACGCACGTTTTGACAATGGACAAGCAAGACGAGTCCAATATTATTTATTTGTGAATGTTTCAAATTGGTTGGTTTCACAATCTCTTGTGTGGGGGCCAAGGATTGTGGAAATAATATTGTTTTGTAATTAATTGACGTTGTTTGGTTATACCATGTTTATTGTATAACATATTTTCCTGACCAACTAAACTTTTTTACGCACGTTTTGACAATGGACATTGGACAAGCAAGACGAGTCCAATATTATTTATTTATGAATGTTTCAAATTGGTTCGTGTCACAATCTCTTGTGTGAGGGCCAAGGATTGTGGAAATTATATTGTTTTGTAATTAATTGACGTTGATTGGTTATACCATGTTTATTGTATAATATATTTTCCTGACCAAATAAACTTTTTTACGCACGTTTTGACAATGGACAAGCAAGACGAGTCCAATATTATTTATTTGTGAATGTTTCAAATTGGTTCGTTTCACAATCTCTTGTGTGGGGGCCAAGGATTGTGGAAATAATATTGTTTTGTAATTAATTGACGTTGATTGGTTATACCATGTTTATTGTATAATATATTTTCCTGGCCAAATAAACTTTTTTACGCATGTTTTGACAATGGACAAGCAAGACGAGTCCAATATTATTTATTTATGAATGTTTCAAATTGGTTCGTGTCAAAATCTCTTGTGTGAGGGCCAAGGATTGTGGAAATAATATTGTTTTGTAATTAATTGACGTTGATTGGTTATACCATGTTTATTGTATAATATATTTTCCTGACCAAATAAACTTTTTTACGCACGTTTTGACAATGGACAAGCAAGACGAGTCCAATATCACGCTATAATTAAATTGAATCAACAATTTAAAATCCATGAGTACCTTGCATTTAAATTTGTTAAAGAGCTTTGACTTTTGAGAAAAATTACAAATTTTGTAATTGTTCATTAGCAGAGATGACGTTTAAAAACGCTCAACGGCAGCCTTTTGTTATTAAATTCTTATAATTCAAGTTAACAGTTTGTTTTATTTTACAACGTGTTCGAGTGGCATGCAAGAGCTATTAAACATTTTAGATAGATGAATTATTGCGATTAAGAATCGTTTCTTTTAAAAACCGAAGCATCTCTGCTTAAGAGAAATAAATTATGGCTCGATGTTTGTCACAATACATTTCTGTTTTATTTTCTCTATCATTGAACTACTAAATGTCACCCCAAAAGTATTTAAAGGATAATTTTTACATACACAAAAATCATACTAAATATTTTTTTGCTTATCTGCATACTGCGTTATAATATTATTAGCAGCTAAATGTGTTTGTCTCAGAATAGAAAAATGGCTACTACTCTAAAGAAAATGGGGCATTTGCTGACATGTAAGGTCAGTATTGTGCGAAGCATATTTTATACCAGATTATGTTGATTGATGCTGGTTGTTCTTTTAATAAAATATTACTGTCCTATTAGAAGGACCACAGGGGGTTTAATTAATGCAATAACAATTTAAAATGCATAACTTTCCTTCTCACCAAACGTGAAACGAAGGCAAATCTCATGTGAAATATTTTCAGGATTGTACTGATTCGGTGACCAGATGTCAGGGTAGGATTGAGTTGACAAAGCTCAAGATGAAAAGGTTATTCAATATCAGATAATAGTGATTTGTTACATTTACCAAGAAGCTAATTATTTTGGAAATATACTGTGTAATAATGGTTAGTAAGTTCTAAAAACAGTGAACTAAAGTGGACGCCATCCTTTGAAAAAATGTAAATTTGTTGCCTTCCTAATCTCGCTTTAAACGGTGCGCTAGAAGGTCATTTGATGCGCTAGAAGGTCATTTGATCTGGACGGCACAAACCACTGTTTTTGTCTATGCCCCCTTAAGGGGGGGCATACACCAAAACAGCGGTGTTAGGCCCAACAAATTGGGCCTAATTTGGACCAAATATGGGTGTGGCTGCCCCGCGGGTATCGTTTGGGGGTTGGGGTCGGGGACCCCCTCAAAAGTTCGGTCACTGGTCCTGGTTTGTTGCTATCTCGTGATCAAGTTTCACAAAAAATATCCATTGCCCCCCCCCCCCCCCCCTTTAACTCTGTATGATAACAAGAATTTCGTTCCTGGAAAGAATTGGCTTAAATCTCATAAACTAACGATGAATATTTCAATTCAATTAGGGTACGAAGATTAAAAAGCACAAGGTCAACTCCAATACTTGTAAGAACTGGAGAATAAAGTACCACACCGTACTCGAAACCTAAACGAGATATTATTGATCTTATTGATGAGGAGGAAACGATAAAAGAACTGCAAGAGCTTTTAGATAGCTCTCCAACAAAAAGTGCAGCCAGCACAGACAGTTTAGAATATGCTGAAATTATTCATAAGAATTTTTTTGCCTCATCGCCCTAAACGATAACCATTAACCATACATATTAATATCTCCAAAATCATTATCTAGGACGTTTTATTCGCATTTGGATGTAACTTTTCCACACTCAATAAATCTGTCGGAAGTCCGAATTTATCTTATTGCAATCTCTTGCACTATATATCAGTTATCTGTGCACTTATCGGCACAGGGCCGTTATATTATATGTATTAAGCGGTCTCGCTATATTCTGTACTTGCCGACCTTTTGTTTATTTAAGGCACAGTCATATTATAAGAGTGAGTTTCCGGGAGCACACGACAGTATATAAAACAGCAGACGACATGGCGCCAATTTGGGAAGTACCAACTCCATTTTAACGGATCATACATCTTGCATGATTATACAATATACATCTTATGTACAATGTACATTGTACATCTTAAACGTCGTTATTGGCTTTTTAGATTTGGTCCATTACATGACGGATAATAATTGTACGTCATGTTCCCAGTTATGATAATCCAAGATAACTGCACTGTACTGGTAAATATATAGGGAATAAATGTCCTTCTTCCTGAACATTTTAAAAGCTTGCCCAAACCGAGGTTATTTATGTAGTTGAAGCGGATACCGCTCGAACTACCGTTATTTAATGCACTGAACGTATTCTAAATCTTAAATACGTCCTTTGAGGTCGCATTTCACAGGACAAAAAATGCCTACCCATTTAAATATTATAAGTTACTAGAATATTAATAATTATCTAACTGAGAAGGAAATCTGCTGTATTTTTGTTATAAATTTATTCGAATCATAGTACACTTGATGAGTGATGGTTTTTCAAATGTTTTTATCTGATGATGTGATTAACTTGTTTATGAGAAAGAAATGTTACATAAATGCTAACCAGTTTTGAGTCGTACAAATAAGGAGGACTTAAAGACTGTACATTTCTTACCGTTGAATAAATGCTTAAATCTTTGGAATGATTTTAAAAGCAGCCGCAACCTTGCAACTATGTTATTCAGCAAGTCTTGTTGTGTGAAACAAATATTATATTGACTGCTAGTAAAATAGACATTTTAAATTTTAAATTTTAAACTGTATAAGGATCTCTCGATTCGATTTAGAGTCTGATTTTTTAGCTTGACTAAATGACTGTTAATCTATATTTTAATTGAAATAAATTTCGATCAAATGCTCCGTTTATTTTTGTTTTGAAAACACAAAAATAACAGAGAAATACCCTCTTCCATTAGACATGTAACTTAACCTTCAGTTTGACATCTGTACTGCTGTTACTCCTACAGCTGATGCTAGGGAGGCGCTTATTACACTTAACGGGTGATACTCGTAGGTTGTAAACCTACAATTATTACACTGACTAACGTGCGAACATGTGCGTTGCTGGGTAAATCTGATATTGTAACGCGCGAATTAATAATTTGTAGACAAACTAGCGCGCCGGGAACCATGCGGAATACAGATTGTCTCTTTACGTAATTCAAACTCTGATGACAAAATAAATTGATTGTGACTGTAATAATGGATTAAAAATTACGGCATACAGCAAATCTTGTGTAAAAAAATTTGATAAACAATATGCTGTAAAAAAAATTCGTCAAAAACTTTAAGAACACGATGCCCCGCCCCATTTTTTAAATGGTCATTTTTGGAACTTTGACGGGCTATAACTTTCGCTAGGAACAGCTATTTGCCCAAAACTTGGTACCAAACGACTCTACTCAATGAGACCTTTCCAATGATGTATAATATGTTGGGTTTTGAGACATAAAATGTTCACCCGCAAGTTGATGCTCTTAGTACATACACTAAACCGTCGTATCTATTTGGCAAGATAAAGAATGGCTAGCATATCTTTATCAAAATATGCGAATTACCTGTTGGGACGCCATTTTCCTCCGTAGCATCCTCCTTGAAAAAGTAACGGATACCCTCTAGTGTCAATGAATGTATGCTATGTGCTACCATTGGGGCAAACATCTTCGATACTCCGGCCGCATCTAGGATTCTCGGGCATTCTTCAGAGGTTGGACCTGAAGTGTTATTTATCATTTTTATTGTTCACAGAAGAGAGTTTCTACTTACAGGGAATGGAATGCGTTTTATTTTCGCTCGGTCAGTGAATACTAATAAGGATACAATGTCTTACAATATCAAAAGTAGAATTGTATGATATTAACAATTAGGAGTGATAAACATCAAAAGCTTTTATAATGATATGTTTGATTACCTGCTCCAACAGTTCCGATTATAAATACAAGGGCTACAAACATCATCTTGTTCTGGTATGGTGTTAAACGGTCAAAACTTTGTTGTTTGGGAAGATTTAAAAATACAAATTTATTCCTACTCAGTAAAACCCCAGAATACCGTGCTCTGTGGAGGAAGTGCACTGTCATTTTGTGGATGAATTGTTCGGAAAAAGGTTAAATTTATAAATTTGAGACCCGACATTCCGAGGCAACAGGATTTCGGAAATTTATTGTATGAAACGGTGGCTACAAGATACATATATATACAAGAAAAACAGATATTATATAAAAGCCTACGAGAACATGAAAAAATAGCATGATTTATGAAAATTTGAGCAAAAAATAGGTCAAAACATGACGGTAAAGTTGTCCTATTATGACTCTGAAAAGAGTCAAGAGATTTAGTTAAACTCCTCAACTGTGAGCAATGGTGTTAAAAGGGCTTGCTGAAAATGAAAACGCTTTGCTCACAACGCGACAGTATCCTTCAAATCAGGGAAACGAGCACATTGTAATTAATGTTTCATAATTCGATTAATTAAATGAGATGATAAAATTATCCGTGGATATTATTACGTTCCTCAGCGAAAAATAAGTTCGGGAGAGATTTTACTACCTTAAGGTTAATAAATTTGGTTACAAAAAGTTTGGTCATTCATCTGGATCCCGGTGGCACTGTCGAGGTTCTCTCGTGGCACTGTCGTGGCACTGTCGTGGCACTGTCGTGGCATTATGGCCCCGCGGTAACGGTATCCTAGTATTATGAAAAACTTGAGGTTCCATTTTTTATGTTGTTTACAGCTCTCTTGAACAACACAGGCAGTTACATACATGTTACATGGCGAGATCTCCATCCAAAAGGATTAGTCTGCGTCGACTGCGTCATTACTTTGTATTATACAACTTCGGCGGGTAACATTTCTCCATCCCTTTCGGTCTGCAGCTAATATATATATATAATCTTCTCATACAATCATTCGTAAGTCCATTACGATCCAATCTCTGCTCGGCATCCTCAATAAATACATCATTTAAGCTCTTCCTAGGCCTGCCTCTTGATCTCTTCCCATGCTTGGGTTTCCATTCAAGTAAATAGTTGGGTAACCGATCTTCAGGCAGTTAGGCGAGATATTTGCTAAATAGTAGTAAATGTAATTAGGCAGAAATTATGTGACTGCTATTCTCTCTAATTTTACGTTCATTTTGTTGACTTGGTTCCTAAATACTTCCATAAGTCTTGACTCTTGCAGATGATTACCAATTCTTGGCAATAGAACAATACTGTTACTCCTGATTAAGACTGCAATTTGGTAATTGTGCCAGGTGCTGTTCGGCTAAAACGGTGGTTTAGTCGACGACATCTTATCATTTGTGATTAATAATCGGAGCCTAATTGATTTAATCTTTAATATGAGCACCAATCGCTGCTCACTTTACCGTCCTTCCGAGCACCTTTTCCATCGAATAGGGGTGAAATGAGTTCCGTACAAATTAACCCTCTACCTACTTCCGACTTCTTTAATTAAGAAATCTAAGAAATAGGACGATAAAGGCTAAATAAAGCACATATTATCACAGCAACATTGATAAGATTTAAGTTCAAATTTGTTAATTATTTTAGGCCAATTGCCAAACCACCTTAGTATGCCCAAAACCCAGATTTGAGGTGCTCTACTGAGTTATGAGCTAAAAACCATATGCCCATATTTACGCACCAAATTTAGTAGTCTTTTGGCCTTAGTTTCCACATTTCTATAAATATTAAGCTATATATCTCAGAAAATCTATAGTTTAGGCTTACCTTTCATATAAATCAAATGATTTTTCGGTGAATTCTCAGTACGGATAAAAGTTGTAATTCATGGGTTTCTATGAAATTATAATAATCCTGCCCTAAAATAAAGTTGTAATATAACTATATTATTGCAACTACTCACAGTTATATTTTGTCAGGTGGAAGCTAATCTGTACGCTTTTGTGTACGCGACAGTAGCTATGAACTGTACCGAGAAGGAGTGGGAGGCTATTTTCCAGGAGTACACTAAGGAATCCCTGCAGAGCAAGCAAAGATATTTTATGAAGGCGTTAGCGTCCACTTTTAATGTGGACATCGTCAAGAAACTCCTCAAATACACCATGGGTATGTTAAACCTGATAATTCTGTCGTAACTCATACGTACTTGTTCAGATTTTTGTTCTGATTTTACGATAGTGTTCACATAACGAGTACTGTGCAAATCTCAAGGTCACATGATGATGAACTTGTAAGATTAAAATAATTTGTTAAACTTTGACACTAACAAAGTTACTGACTCAGATGAGAAGATGATCAGAAGACAAGACGCCAGGATTGTTCTGATGCACATATCTATGGGAAGCTACCCGGCCAACTACGCTACCTGGAGCTTTCTCAGAGAAAACTAGGCCTTCTTCTATGAAGAGTGAGTCACAACCGGTACACAACCGGTAAACAACCGGTACACAACCGGTACACAACCGGTACCCTACTTAATCTGTAGTGTTATAACACTACACAACCTGGCCAATTTCTCTTAAAGTGCCACTTTTAGTGTGACTTTTAGTCAAGTTACCAAGTTACTATGGTTGCCAATGATTCTGTACGGCCCAAACTGACCTGAACTTGTAAACATTTTCCCAATAATGATGTTAATAAGGTTTGCACACTTGCAGGTTTGGTCACACTAACTCAGGGTTCGACCTGCTCATAGAATCTGTTATCGGCCAGTTTTACAAAAAGGAAGATATAGATGAAGTTAACAAGTTCTTTGATAACAAGGACGATTTGGGCAGCATTGAGAGAGGAGTTAAAAAAGGTAACGTTCTTATTTCGTTATTCTTATAACTTGTAATTAATAAGTAATTAAGTGGGCAGGGGGGGGGGTCTTTATGATGAAATTTCTCTCGAAATTGATTTTATAGTTGTTTCTTATAGAGGGGAGTGATACCAAAAGCAGCAGATAGATATCCCTCCCCTCTATCAGAAACAACTCAACTTCGAGAGTAATTTCATGAAGACCCCCCTGGCCCCTGCCCCCTTAATCAAGCTGAAATGCTCATACTACCTATTGAATATCTCCATGAACATTGAATATTTGGCTATGAATAGTGTGTTCTGTGCTGGTAATAATGTATTTACAACGATTACAACCCAAAATCTAAATATCTTCAGAACAATCTAAACCCGTTCAGCAAAAAATGCTGATTTCTAACCTTCTCTACAGGTCTAGAAGCAGCCTCACATCGGAGAGAGTGGTCGAAGAAACATAAAGAGTATGCTGGAGGCTGGTTAAAAGTTAACTTCCCCCGAGACTAGAGCAGATATCCCGCTCTCCAGTTACAAACTTTCTCTCTCTTCAGTCTTCACTTGTCAGCCGACAACATCCAGTTAAAACTTGCCTCATCACTAAAATTGTTGACACCGGAATAATGTAATTGTGTCTGATTTGCGGGACGATTAGGGCTGTTTTCAGTAGATTATTATAAGTCATTGTCAATTAAAAGAACTCCAAATTAGCGTGCCACGTGATAGGGTAGGTGGTGGACGTTGGATCTGTTAATTAAAACATACTCAGTATATTTGAAATGGTGTTAATTTTGTTATTATGTATCAAGAGGAAAAGCGTGTAAATTTGGACAAATTTAGTATTGTAAATTAGGATTGATTTGGAAAGCATTCTTATAGCTGACGTATGTTATTAGTAATTTAAATTAGAAGAATAGTTCTTGATTTAATTTAGGAGTGTCCGTTCTGTATCTTCATTCACCACAAATGGTTTAACTTAATTTTGCATCCTGTTTTGTTTTAATCTTTGTTTAAATTTGTGTATTATGATGAAATATTTATTCAACTGGCTGGAACAGCTAAGATTATTTTATCATCGTCGAACCCGCGGAGTGATTTGATTTTAAATTATGAAAGCAGATTCAACGACTAATTTTGACAAACTTAAATTTGTTTAATTTAGATTTCTGACGGCGACGACATTAGTCGTTGCATCTCAAAGCAAGTGTTAAGCTAGAAGATTCACGAGTTTCTGCGGTTTCAGAAAGTTTTGTTTATTTTGGATCAAGATGAAATTTTATTTAATTTGTCTTGTTTAGTTTTCTGCAGTTTATTCATTTTGTTGCATTTCCAAATTCTTCCCGATGAAAATAAAGGAATTGTAAGTATATTCCTTATTGGATATATTTTGCAGAATCAGGAACATTTTTATTGAATTTGAGTTTAAATTAAAAGTTTTAACCGGTGCTCGAGTAAGCAGTTCACGAGTGATATTAAACACTCTACACTCGATATAAGGGGTCGTTCACATATTACGTAATAACTTTTTGAACAATTTTAACCCCGTCCCCCCTCCGTAACCAGTTTTACGCATATCTATTGTGTTAAAATTACGCTAGCGTAATCATTTGGAAACCCCCCTCCCCCTCGGCTGATTAGTGATTACGTAATATGTGAACAACCCCTAATATTAAAATCAGTTCTTGAGGGGTTTAAAAACCACCGTTATGTGAGCTGACGGCACCGGTTCAAATGGATTTATACCGCTAATCTGCTATCTCTACTACCTTTGGATCAATTCTTGCTATATTTATTTAAATTGATTTTAAATGAAATTTATCTCTATACAAAAATGTATATTTAAATACATACGAATATCATGATAAATTGTATAATTTTATGATATTATATTTTATGTTTTATGACACCAGGCTAATTCACAATTTATTTCAGCTTCAATACTGATACAATTTAACATTTGCAATTGCTAATATAGGGTCACTTCAAACTCGGGAGAGCAATTTGTTTTTATCTCTCAAGACGATGTAAAGCGAACACTATTTCAGTATTTCTGGTATATTCTTTCTCTGATGTTTTATTAAGTTGTGGCTCTCGTGTTATATTTGTTGTTTTGAAAATTACAGGGTATAAATTTGTATTTTCTCCAATTTTCATCTAAACGCAAAGCATAATTACTCGTTTTAATTTTATGATTAGTTCA